AGGATCTCTCTTTCTTGCCCAGGTCAGAGTACAGTGGCATAATCATAGTTCACTGCGGCCTCCAACTCCTGGGCTCAAGCAATCCTCCCGCCTCACCCTCCTAAGTAGCTTAGAACTATGGGCATGTGCCACCATGCCTGGCTAATTTTGTCTTTTTTCTTTTCATAGAGATGGAGTCTTGCAAGTGTTGCCCAGACTGGTTTTGAATTTCTGGCCTCAAGTGGTCCTCCCGCCTCGGCTTCCCAAAGTGTTGGGATTATAAGTGTGAGCCACCGTGCCCAGCGGGGATAATTTTTATAAGGACTATATCAAATTATAAAATGTATAGAGTAGAAACAGACCTGGAGCTAGAAGGGATTAGGAATTATCTAGTTCGGTGTTCTCATTTCCCAGTGGAGATATCAGAGTAGTTAAGAACAGAAAACTAGTTAGGTCTAAGACTTATGACTCTTAGCGTGGTTTGAAGTGGGAGTGGAAAATACAGATTTGTAATATTTCATATCTATGTCTTGTGCACAGAACTTTCCCTTTCCCTTATTTGTATAGTGAACTCATATATGACCCTCTGAATAGTCTCTTTATAATGGTTTTTCTCTGTTCCCAAAGACTATATATTAAGAAAGCTTTGTAGAGATTATAAATTAAGGAAGGTTTTTCTTCTTTTTTTGTCTTTAAAATTTTTTTAATGTAGTTTTTAAACTATATTAATCTTTTATGACTTTTGGATTGCACATCATGCTTAGAAAGACCTTTTGCACTATGTGATTATAAAAGATTCTCCTCTGTTTTCATCTGGTACTTTTATAGTTTCAGTTGTTTTATTTGCCTTTGAACAATCTAGAAATTATTTGGTATAAGGTATAAAGTAAATATGGTATCTTTTAATACCTTTTGTTTAATTATCATCTCCTCCTGTGGTGAAGCACCTTCCAGGCAGAGAGAATAATAGCATAATGCCTGGCACTTAGTAAAAGCTGAATAAATGATGAAAGTAGTGGTTATTGTTGTTGTGGTGGTGATGATAATATAGTTTTAGGGAGTAAAGGTTTGGGATGGTGTTCTTATAAAAAATGATAGATTTTAATGTGTTTATAGCTTGTGGGGACATAGCTAGATTGTAAAATGCAGGAGAGAAGGAATGAAGGGCCAGAAGGAAAGAGGTCTACTCCACAGTACAAAAAACAGAGGTTAAGCTTCAACATGAGAGTGGAAAAATGGAGGTAAGGATGACTGTTGTAAATATAGATACCATAAACATGAAAAGATGATAGACTTTTTTCAAAAAAAATAAGAATTAAGGGCACTTAAATATGAAGGTAATTGTAAAGTGCTTGAGGAGAGTGAGAGAGAGATTTTGTATTTTTACTTTCTCTTCCTTTCTCCTTCTCTTATAGGTCACCCTTGCAATTATGGATATTTAAAAGGATTAGACAGTGTGGAGGGGGAGTTCCCCTCCTCACTCCCCCTTGGTGCTTGACTCCAGGAATAATTTAAAAACTGTGGAACTTTTTTAAAATGAAGAGCTTGTATTTGATATGAACTTTATAGAACTATTTATAATTTTTTTGATTTAAGTGCCAAAAAATTGTATAAAGATATTAGTTTTATACTATTGTCATAAGGATTTAAATTATAATCCTAAAAAGTCATTTATTCTCTGTAATTCTTCCTAAATAACACCTTTGTGTCCTGGCTTTGTCATTTTTAAAAATTAATCTTGACTGACTATTCTGAAGAAGTAAGCAGTATAAAGACAATTAGGATGAATTCTCTCATCCCTGACTGCACATCAAAATGTCAATCCCTGAAGCATGCTTTGGATGTCCTTTCTGTGGTAACAAAGGGGAGTGAAAACCAGATTAAGGCCTTTCTCTCCAGTCATTGTTACAATGCTACAACTATCAAGGATGCCTTTGGCAGGAATGCCCTACACCTTGTTTCCTCCTGTGGAAAGAAAGGAGTGTTAGATTGGCTTATTGAAAAAGGAGTGGATCTGTTGGTGAAAGACAAGGAGTCAGGGTGGACAGCATTGCACCGAAGCATTTTTTATGGACATATTGATTGTGTTTGGTCTCTATTAAAGGTAAGTGTCATTTGTTTATTTAAACCTGTTATTTAGTCAGGCGTATGTTTTTTCTTAATCTTCTTCATGCACCCCACATACTTTCCAGAAAAGATTTGTGTTTGTTCTTATCACTTGTTTGCCATCTCTTACTACTGTAACTCATCTTTGGAATTAAAATCCCATATATTCTTTTTATTTAACCTTTTTATGATGTAAAATTTTAAACATATATCAAAGTTTACCATATACAGTGAACTCTTGGCCAATAATGTGTTATTTGTACATGTATTATTTTGAAGTAAATCCCAGACATTTTATCATTTAATCAGTCCCTATATATTGTTAAAAGAACAACTTTAGACAAAATAAATTTAACAGAATTTATTAGAGCAAAGAATGCTTCATGAATTAGGCAACACTAAGAACTGGAAGAGGTTTAGAGAGCTCTGCCTAGGCACCCTGGGCAGCAAGCTTTTATAGGCTGACAAAGAAGTAAGATAAAGAAAATATATTTGATTGTTTAGAGTGGAAAGACCCCACTTAGAGGTTAGTTGGCAGTTTCTGATTGATAAAGCCTCTAATTTCATCTTACTGTTTACGTTGGGCTGGCA